ATGTAATCGAGCAATGCACATCTAGTGTTAGGTGTAGGTGGTAAAACAAATCTTGTTTTAGATTACAATTACAACTGTGCACAACATATATACAGTTGTGTAGCACAGTTAATTTGCAATGTTAATGCAATTATAACTGCAGTACATTTCTAACAATGTTCAGTTTCAAAATAAGGAGCACAATGTTGTACTATATTAATATGGCAATTTCAGCAAATGAAATAGACTATAACTGACACATTACTGCATATAAAAAAAATTAAATACTTAAACAAATCCACAGCAAAAAGCTATGCTGTGATGTGGGTGCCACATGCTTTCAACCCATTCATAAAAATGTGACTGTAGTACGTATAAGCAGCCAGCAGTGCTGGATCCAAGGGCATTAACCAGTTCAGTGTCAGAAAGGCCTGCGTGCAGATCAAATTGGTTTGCACGGTGAAAGATAGAGTTCCGTTTATTTACGCTAAGGTACCATATTTTTCCAGGAATTATGTTAAAAACTTTGTGGACATAGAGACAGGTTCATCCCATAGCCTTATTTATCTGCAGTCAGCTGACTTGAACAGAAAACAGAGCAGGTGTTCCACATGTAGCCAGAGAAGAGATGCTTTCTCATAAATCCAAAGGTCTAAGGGTTACCGTACACATTAAAATCTGGCCATCCAATCTGAAGATTGACAAAAACTATGTAATATGAAGACCTATAATATATAAAGATGGGGAAGGAAGGTATTCAATGTATATAATCAGTAACAAAAAATCACTTAATTCACACGGTGGGTCCCCTCGTGTAATTAATAGCAAAATCACAAATATTCCCCGGAAGGGGATCCCACCATGGTTACAAAGTATTTTACTTTGTAACCATGGTGGGATCCCCTTCTGGGGAATATTCGTGATTTTGCTAATATGAAGACCTACCTAATTTATACAATCAATTTATATCCAGTCAAGCAGGCTCATGCACTACATAGTTGATGGTAGACCTAAAGGAATTTGTACAATTAGATTGTAACATGCGTGGTGGGCTTTTTATATATAGCATCCTGATTAGCACACATCACAGTATGATGCCTGTATTTCACGTACACATTTCAGTAAATGAAGAGTACAAAAAAGGAAAGCCTAATAAACTTGATTTGAACACAAAAAAAGGAAAGCCAGCATCATAACGTGTCAACGCAAGTAAGAAACTTTGCAAACATCGTCTCTGCTCAGTTAACCTTATCACCGCCATGTCGTTGCCAAAAAGTGGTAGTCCACGTGCACTTGAAAAGCGCCCGGAAACAATCCCATTCATTTGGATGCAAAAAGGCATGTATAATAAAGACACCATCATGATGAAGACTGTAAAATAAAGCAGCAAGGCTGCACTCCACACAAGTGGCTATGCACATAAATAAAAGGCACACACAATAAAGCACAGGCTTGGCCACATCTCTGTGAGAGGCTGACTGGCCAAGCTGAAATCTTCATAGACAGATAACACAGCTACATTCAGTTCACCAACCTTCACCTCCGCTAAAAGCCCAGCCAGAGTTCCTGAACAATGCTCTTTCTTCTGCACGGTCACAGTGAGTGCGGTCCCTCTATGTGTCTCCTGATTCCAACTGAGGACAGATGGCCAGAAGCCCTGAGCCTCACTGGGATGAGGCAAAGCTTTGCTTTTTTTTCTCCTCTTGCTTAGCCCCTGGCAGATAAGCCTGAGTCAGGCACAGTGAGCTCACAACACCCCCTCCACCAATCATTTCAATTAGTGCCACATGAGAGGAGCTTCTGCCCAAAATCTTCTTAGGAAAGGGCCAGAGGGCAGGGCAATCTCCTCTGCTCAACAATGACCAGAAGAAGCTATAAATATAATGAACAAAGGCTCTGTCAGGGCTGGGAATGTGATGTCCTAATCCGATAGAACACTATACCCAGCACACAGCCAACAAGCAGCTCTGTAGCAGCATGAGCCTTGAGAGCACGGCATGCTTCATATTCTAATCTCATAAAAAGACATATAGTGGAATCCACCCAGAGAAGTGACAAGAGCCTGCAACATTTAAGATGCTGCCCTGTGGAGTATTAGTGATTGGATAACATCACTGTGTCTTTATTTGGCACAAAGCTAAGTACACTCCTCTCTGCACCCTGGAATCATTACTTGCAGGCATCATCAGGGCATACGCTGCCTGGACAGGAGACTTTATTCTCACAAATCAGCACTTTAGCTTACACTTTATATACATCATGCACGCCACATTATTTAAGATTATTACGGCTATGCTTATTTGATTTATGTATAAGAAATAAATCAAAGACTCTAATATTTTTAATATGTTGTATTGTTTTTTTGTTTTTTTTTGCATTAAATTAAAAAATTTGGAGTGCCTAAAGAGAAAAAGGGTATAGGCTGCCTGGACAGCTGACTGTACTGCTCCTTCTGTTTCTCTCCAATCAGCACTTCAGCTTATACTTTTATATACAACATACACGCTACATTATTTAGTTTTTATTACAGCTATGCTTATTTACAGCTCTACTGTAATCCCTATGTTTACAAATATCTTTAATAGGCGGCATTGTTTTTTTGCATTAAAAGAAAAAATTTTGAGTGCCTAAAGAGAAGCAGGGAATCCGCCTTTGTAAAGGAGCTGTAACAGGCTTTGGTGAATTTCCAGGGACTGCTTGTGAAAAGTAGAATCACAAGACTTTATACATTTATCTGAAAACAGGCAAAGCTCTGCAAGCAAGGACGGCATGGTGGTGTCGTTTAGACGTATAGGGCTACTGTAGGTTAAGACAAGGCTGAACAGAGAATAATGAAAGGCTCTTACCATGCAAACACTGACCATGTGCTCTTTCTGGGTTTTAAAGGAATCCGATTGTCAGTTTTTGCTTTTGTGATGACAGCTGCTTGCCTAGTGCTGCGTATTGTTTGTTTATGGGGGGTGGAGAATGAGGAGTGGTTTCATTACAAATGCAATCTGCAGTATGGAGAGGCCATATTTACAAGACAGTGTATGCATGCTGCTGGGCGGAAGTCAGGAATCAGGATACACTAAATGAGTCAACAGAAGGGGAGGCAGCATGTTCAACTACCTACTACATACAATTACACTGCAGTAAATGCTGAAAGCCAGAGGCTATGTATAGATTACACAGATTGCACTTTAAAGTATTACTATGAAATGTATGCTGTTAAATATGTGGTACATGGATTCACATTATGGATGTCTATCAAATCTAATAGTTTTGAAAAATGGAATTAATGCTGAACTCCGGGAACAAAAATTTTAATTTTAATGCTCAAAAGCCACAAAGGATATAAATACAAACCCAGGTAATACCCTTTAACAGTAGCAATTACATAATCAGTGTGCTGCATATAGCTTGTTCAGTGAGAATAGCTGTGGGAGGGACCAAGCAGGCCCCACCCACTACAAATTACCTACAAAAAAACCTACAAGGGGTTGTATGCAAGACCAGTCACCCTGCACAAGGAGAGAGAGCAGCAGTGACCAGTCTTTATTACAGGAAGCTCCTGTTTTACTGCACAGATCTAGAAGAAATATACAAAGCACCAAAAGATGTATGCCTCTTGTGTTCTGACAATATTTACTTATTGAGTTCAGCTTTAAAACGCCACTCAAGTTTGAATAGTTGATACAAATGGTTATCATATGCCCTCCCTTTGAGTTAGTTAGCTCTACTAGCTGAAATGTAAATGCTTGGTTGCTGCAGAAGTCTGGATGCAACATACCATGGTTATGTTAAGAAATGTACAAGACTTATTTTTCACATATTTTTGATAAAAAGATACCAGTGCTCTATTATTGTCAAGCTGCCACCAGGCAGTGTCCCAGGATCACAGCACCATGCTTATTTAAGTTACTGAGCATGTGTAATGACTTAAAAATGGTATGACTAAAGGGACAATGGTCGGAAGTGGGCATAATTAGGGGCAGGTTTGTGTGATCCGGACAGGTCTGCCTGGAAAGTGGGCATGATCTAAGCATGACCTTGTGGAAGGAGGGCCTGATATTTTTAACATTGTACCAGGGAATAATCAATTTCGAAAGCAGAATTTATTACCAGTTTAGGTTTTCTTGTATGTGCTCTAGAAATACTCACTTAGGGGGAATTTATCAACACTGGAACAGACAGAATCTGGAGAAGTGGCCCATAGCAACCAATATGCTTCTTTTTTCCGTTTGCTTTGTTTAGATATGAAAATGAAAGCTGGAAGCTGATTGGTTGTCATGCACAGCTGCTCCAGATTTTGTCTGCTCCAGTTTTGATAGATTCCAGTCACTTCTAAGTCAGATTTGTCTATGCTGCCAACTGTAGACTTGCAGAATGTTTTTTTTATTAACTTTACTTATCAAGAGCCAAAAAGATGAGCCATGATAGAGTGACAGCCTCCAAAGCTTTAAAGAAGAACTGCAAGAAAATAAAACATTAACCCTTGCAGTGGGGCTACTGCATTACAACGGTTAAGTGCTCGTTTTGTCTAGATAGCTAAAATAACAGAGTTATACTCATCCGAACCACAATCTCAGCTGGCTGCTAGACTGCTCCCTCCAGTTTCACTCCCCCTCTACCCCAGTGGTCTAAGGTCCAGTGAGTCATCACGTCCTAGACAGTGTATTGGATGTGAGGATGTGGAGGAACATTCCATCACTGGAGTGGAGGAGGTGACAGGCTGAAGGGACCGGTCTGGGAATCAGTCAGGATCATGGTTCGGGTGAGTAGAACTGTTATTTTAGCTCCCTAGACAAAACGAGAACTGAACCCTTGCAATGCGGGGGTATCCTCACTGCAAGGGTTAAGATTTTATTTGGCTGCAGTTCTTATTTAACACTTGGGGGAACAATAGATGTAACCAGGAAAAGTGGTCAGGCCTATGTATGAGAAGTTAACTGGCTAGAAGAATTAGAAGGTTGATACAGTAAGTAATACGAGTTCTGTTGTAGGTAGGCTCCACCATTAAATTGGACAAATGCTTGGGAAATGTTGTAAAAGAAGGAATGTAGGGAGCTGAAAATGAGAAATTGTGGGAAAAGAAAGTATATTGTGGGAAAAGAAAGTATATTGTGGGAAAAGAAAGCATATCAGGCAAAAGTAGAATGTAAACCAGAAGAGGGGAAGGTTAGGGGGATGCTTTAAAGCGGGGGTGGCCAGACCTCCAGCTGTGGTGAAACTACAAATCCCATTATGCATCTGCCTCTGACAGAGTCAGATATGATCATGTTTTAATTTGCCTCAATAGATATTTCATGTGCCTGTACAAAGAGATCTAAACCTCTGTCATGTTTTTATTATAAAACCACAGAAAAATATAGAACACTGGTGACATTAGTGGTATCCAAATACGCTGTAACAGTATCAAAAATCTATAATCACATAAAAGCATCAATTTAATTTTAAATAATTATGTTTTTTTAAACAAATATTTTGATACCACTAAATTCCCAGTGTTCTTTTTTTGAGTGGCTTGGTATATTTAGAGATGTAGATATCATTTATACATGAGCAAGCATTCCTGTCATTGGTCTACATGAGGTTTTCATTGTTGTCTGTGTGACCATTGGGGAGTTGAGTCCCACTTCCTGCCCTGGTAACAGGATGTCATGGGGCAGGAACTGATGGGAAGTCTCCCCAAACGGCAATAAAACAAGGCATTAAGATTCTTGGACGTTCTGTTAGATCCTAAGGGCTAGTTCACACCAGTCCCAGTGCGTTCAAGCCCAATTGGTGTCGGAAAGCACTGGATCGCATTCTGGCCGGCTCACTTTGTTTTGGGATGGGAGGGGGTGTGGCAGTGCATTAAAGTCAATGGCCCCGCAGCCACATCCTCCGGCCGCAGTACAATCGCCCACACCCGAACACAGGCACTGATGTGCCACTCGTTCCAGTGCAGGCGATCGCGACCTTATTGCTTTATATGAATTCCTCTCTGGGGGTAGCCGTGTGATTTTTGCTGTGCTAAGTGAGAGTCCTCCTCAGCCCTCTCCTAGCGCAGCAGTGTCAGTTCTCCCGCCACACCACCAGATGTCGCTGCAGCAGCCGAGTTATCCCTAAATTTTACCATTGGGGGTCACCACAACTTGGCAAATATTACCAAAGGGTCCTGGCCCTAGAAAGGTGGAGAACCACTGGATTAGGCAGTGATGAGAAGAGAAACACGGTTCATGACATCACATTAAGTGTGCTGCTTCAATGTCCTGCGTTACTGTAAATAACTTGTAATGAAATAAATATATATTATGTCAATCAAAGGACCTGGTATTGTAAGTCTAGGATAGGTCATTATGACTGGCTTCCTGAGCTTTGGAGAAGGTACTAGAGAAGAAAGGAGCTGTTATATCATAGAATTAGCAATGTGAGTCATTGAAGCATAATTAACAGCTACTGGAAAATGTAATTGAAACCCATAACTTACACCCATTTTGTGTCCGCTATATACTGTATATATAACAGAAGATTCTTAATTTGTTTCCATTACCTCATTTATGATTGTGGGATGTCATCTCTGATTTAATAACAGTCCCAGGGATTAATGAAACCATTCTACTCTGAAGGTTAATGTAAACAGTATCGCAGCGTTAATTCTGAAGAAAAAACAAAAACCTACCGAGCTAATGCAGATATGATGCTACAGGCATGCATCCTTTCAAATGAAGTGGGTTACATGCTAGCAAATTACAATTCAGGATTTCTTCAAACCATGTGCAAAAACATCTACATATTGCTCCCTCAGCAATTAAAAGAAATATAACACCCTGTCTGGAAAAAGATATTTATATCTAGTATCCACTTAACAGGAATTTAAACATACTTGTGATAAAGCCTCATCACTCCTAAAAATAAACCATTGTGTTACACCAGGCAAAAGCTCTTCATTAGCAGATGACGGAGGAAACACATTCTATCAACAGACTGTATATGTTTTAAAATGAACCTACTAGACATTGGTGTATACTGTTGGCAAAGAAAAA